CTTGGGCCTTTCAATCACGATAAGGATTTGATCCTCCTCATCTGCCTCATGGGGTCTCCCCACCTAATTTCTCTGTGAATTTCTCATATGCACTCTCTTCTCTGACAGAAGGTTACTGCTTCGTGTTACAGATAAACTTCCTGTGTAAAATGCATTCCTAAATATTAATTGTCATATAACAATAACCCAAATTCATAATCAATATTCGACAGCATTCTTGATAGATGGGGGTGGAGGAGTTAATATAAAAACATTTTGGATAGTAGAAAGATCCTCTTGAAAGTTCCTATAGGTGAAAAACATGACAAATATATACTTTCATCCACAAGAAAAGTTTAAAAAAAAAAGAGTGAGAGAGGAAGGGAGATGCCTTACTGGAGACATTTCAGAACACTATAAAATAATGTTAATATAGTATGATGTTAGTTCAGGAAAGTCAGTCAAATCAGTGGAAGAGAGTTAAGAATTTTTTAAAAAGAAGTATAAAGGTAGGTTAATTTGTATTATAATAAACTTCAGATTACTGAGGAAAGGATGCACTCGCAATAAAAGGTTTTGGGACAAGTGACCAATTAAATGAAGGGGAAAAAAATAGGCTGTACCTTTAACAGAAGTCACTAACAAAAACAAACTTTAGAGTTATGATATTAAAAAACATATTTAAAATCAAATAGAAGGAAAGAATAGATATTTTATTTTCTTACCCTCATCTGAGGGTATTTTTATTGATTTTAGAGAGAGAGGAGGGAGAGGAGAGAGAGAGAAATGAGAGGGAAATATTGATCAGTTGCCTCCTTGACGGGGGATCAAACCCGCAACCTAACCAGGAATTGAACCCACAATCTTGTTGTGTACAGGATGATGCTCCAAACAACTGAGCCACCTGGCCAAGGCAAAGAATGAATATTTTTAAAATCGTGGATGGCAAAGTCATCCTAGGCAAACTACAAAACCCAGACTCCATGAAAGAAAAAAAAAAAACCCTGATAGATTTGGCAACATCAAGTGATATCAGCAACATACACAACAATGACTGGGATATATCGGAATTCCACGAAATCCACTAGAAAAAAAGAAAATAATCCATTAAAAAGTTGAGAAAATGACAAAGGTACTGCACACAAAAACTTTTTAAAGGCAACAACCATTTGAAAAAAGTCCTACCTTACTAGCAATCTAGCAAATATGTATTAAAACATCAATAAAGTATTTTTGTCCATTAAATCATTTGATGATGTACTCTGTTGTTGAGTTCAGGGAAAACGGACACTTTCACACACTCCTGCATTTTTGAAGGGATATTTGGGAGTATACAGCTCAGTCTTTAATTCATCAAATCTACTCTAGGAATCTATTCTGAAGAAATTCTCATACAAGTGTACAAAAATTTATAATGAAAGAAATGAATTCAAGAACGTCTATCGCAACACTATTTGTAAAAGGAAATAATTGGAAACTGAGTGTTCATGAATAGGAAATAGTTACATAATTTATAGTATCTCCACAAAATGGAATGCTATGCAGCTGTTTAAAATATGAGGTAGATCTATAGGTACTGCTGTATCACCTTGTTATATTTTTGAATAGAGAAAGCAAGTTTCAGAAACTTGCATATAATGTGATCCAGTTTAGGTAAGAGAGTGCATATGAACACATTTATATACATAAATGTGTAGAAGTAGGGCTAAAGAAATGCATACCAAATTGTTGACAGAGTAAAAGTAGGGACAGGACTAAAAATAGCTATGACAAGTGGTTAAAAGCATAGGCTCTGACATCACAAATCATAGTGGGGTCACAGAACATAGTGGCTCTGTTACTTACTATTTGACTTTGGCAAGTTTCTTAACCTCTCTGTGCCTCAGTTTCTTTATCTACAAAATGGTGGTGATATAATTGCTTACCTCAAAGACTTGCTGTGAGAGTTAAATGGAGCAATATATGTAAAGCACTTAAAGTGAAGCCTGGAACATGGTATAAGCTTACTCTGTAAGAGTTTACTATTATTATATTCCTTAAATATTTTACAATAAGAATGCATTCATGGATTTCCTATGAAACAAAAAAGAAAATGAAACTACAATGAGAATGTGACAGTGCTCCTGAATAAAAAAGAAAAAGAAAGAAAAAAATTGCATCATCTACATTGGCATTTTAACTATACCACAGTGCAGTAGAACATTGAATTTATAATAATTCATAACTTCTGCTTATGGAACAACAACAACAAAAGCATGGCCACAATATTTTGCAGCTCCTCTTTTCAAGAGATGAAGTCTATTTCTCTGGTCTTGTGATTTTCTTTGAATAATAAAACAAGCAGAAGTAACCCTGTGTGTGTTCTGGAGCCTAGGCCTTTAGGGCATTGTAGGTCCTACCTTGGCCATCATGAGGTGCTGCTCTCATACCAGCCACCAAGGCAGCTGGTGTTGTCTATTTGAGAATGAGGGACCATGTGGAGGAAGACAACTAAGGCATCTGGACAGCAGTTAGCACCTATTGCCAAACATATGAGTGAGGTTACCTTGTACCTTTCAGGCCAGCCAACCCTTCAGCCGAATGCAACGGCACAAATGTGTCAAAATCCATCAGAGCAAACTCATAGTTAACCCACGGAATCGTGAGAGATAATTGCTGTTGGTTAAGCCACTAAGTTTTAGGGTCATTTATCATGCAACAATAGTTAACTGATACAGAAAATATGAAATCTCTTGGAGAGAGACCACATGGAGAGAGAAGCCTGGACACCTCAGTTTTCCAGCCACTCCAGTTTAGATACCAGACATGTAAGTCCATGTGGGATGAAGCCAGCCCCAGGCAATCTTCCATAAATGTAGCTACTTGAGCAAGCTCAGACAAGACCAGGAGAAAAAAATTCCCATCTCTCCCACAAAAATGTGAGAAATGGCAAAACATTGTTTTAAGCTATGAAGTTTTGAGGTAATTTGTTATGCAGCCATTGATTATTAATACCATATCCAAGCAGCTTAATTTACTAAATACATAGAATCTCTTTTAAATACAATTAACACCTCTTAGGCATGGCCTAAGGATCATGTTAAAACAAGGCACTAGATTTTAAAGAAAGTTTCCTGTATGAAACAGGAAACGATAATTCAAATTAAATTTGATGAAACAGAACACACACATTTCTCTCATTTCTTTCCATTTTAGAAACAAAGTTGTTAATGCATAACTTGTCCCCAGTTATCTTTGTAGGGTCTATTACATATAACCAAGACATACAGAAAGACGTCTTTACCTTCAAAGAATAAAAGTACAATAGAAGAAATAAACATCTAAATAAATAACTATAATACAAAGGATTGGGATAAGGGCTAAGAGAGGAAAAATACTTTGGCAGTTCAGAGGAGAGACAGCATTTCAGGATGGAAGTTCATGGAGGGCTTTTTGGAAAAAAGTAGGAATGGATATGAGTCTGATAAGTATGGAGAGACAGCTAGAATGGAAAAGGAAGGGCATCCCAGGCAGCTGCAGAAGCGATCTAAGTTAAAGAAATTTTAGGCTTTATTCGTAATAACATTTGAGCAAAAGGTTAGACTGCCCCCATTGTAACCAGGTCCATTTGATGGCCTGTGGAATAACCTGTGCTGCATACTATTTTAAGACAGACAGACAGAGCTGCCGTAGTGTGTAGCTTTTAGCACTTCAACCATGGCATGAGGTATCCTAGGAAACGGATGAACCTACTGTGTGGCGGTGCGTGACTCCTGCCTATGCCCATTCTGTGATTGGAACTCCTTTTGTGATAAAACAAGTGGTTCTGGGGCAGTCTGCATTATTAAGATAATTATTAATGGAAAAAATATGTTAAAAGCAAATGATGATATGAATAGAATCATACCTTTAAAATGAAAGGCAAGAATGAGTATAGGACTTAAGTTAGTTCTGCCCTGGCTGGTGTGGCTCTGTGGATTGAGCGCCGGCCCCTCAAACCAAAGGATTACACGTTGGATTGCCAGCCAGGGCACATGCCTGGGTTGCCCGCTTGGTCCCCAGTGGGGGGCGTGTGAGATGCAACCACACATTGATGTTTCTCTTCCTCTCTTTCGCCCTCCCTCTGAAAATAAATAAATAATACCTTTAAAAAAAGAGAGAACAGTTCTGCTTTACTTTTATTTTTTAAAAAGATTTTATTTATTAATTTTCAGAGAGAGAGGGGGAGGGAGAGAGAAAGAGAAGAGAAACACCGATGTGTGAAACATCCGTCATCCATCGGTTGCCTCTCACACGCCCCCAGGTGGGGACCTGGTCCGCAATCGAGGCATGCGGCCCTGACTGGAAATGGAACCGGGGACCTTCGGGTTGGCGGGCAGGCACTCAATCCACTGAGCCACACCAGTCAGGGCTGTTTTACTTTTTTAATAATAGCTTTCTGATTATGCCTTAATACATACTTATTATGGAAAATATAGACAAATATTTTAAAAATTAAAATCACTAAAAATCCCCTTAATCACTATTAATATTGTGATTTATTTTTCTTAGTCCTTTCTCCATGAATCTACTTGTAAATATTTTAGTTTTAGTCAATTCATATAAATATGATACTAAGTTTCTGTAATCTTCCATTTTCCCTATTTAAAGTATTGGGGATTTTCCATTGGCTGGAGCCATTGTGACGAGTTGGCCGCGTGGGCGGAGCAACGGGGTACTTCCGGGCGGGAACGAGCGGTAGTGGTGGCAACGGTGTTACCACTATAGCTTTCCGCTCCCCTCGCCCCACCCTCGGCGAAAGCGAGGCAGCCGTGGCTGCCCAGAAACGAGTGGCCCAGCCGCCTGTTATCAGCGTGAACCCATCACAAACAGCGGCCTTACTGAGCAGAGGTGAACGGGTTTCCCTTCGGGACCTGGGCTCTGTAACACCAAGAGCCAACGTTTTCCGTTTTCTGCCGCCTTTCTCCTCAGCGTCGCTCCGGTAGACGACTGACGACCGAGCGGCGAGCCCAGAGGCCTGCTTACGCCCTGTCAGAGGTGTCCGGTCTTCGCGCCAGGCTCTGTCTTCATTTCTTAAGATGGCGAGCAGCAGCAGCAGCAGCAGCGGCCCCAAGACCGAAATCATTGTCGGAGGGAAATATAAACTGGTACGAAAGATCGGGTCGGGGTCCTTCGGGGACGTTTATCTGGCGATTAACTTCACCAATGGCGAGGGAGTGGCCGTGAAGGTAGAATCTCAGAAGGCCGCTCATGCCCAGTTGCTGTATGAGAGTAAACTCTATAAGATTCTTCAGGGTGGCGTTGGTATCCCTCGCATACAGTGGTATGGTCAGGAAAAAGAATACAACGTGCTAGTCATGGATCTTCTTGGGCCTAGCCTCGAAGACCTCTTCAATTTTTGTTCAAGAACCTTCACAATGAAAACTGTACTTATGTTAGCTGACCAGATGATCAGTAGAATTGAGTATGTCCACGCAAAGAATTTTATTCACAGAGACATTAAACCAAATAACTTGGTAATGGGTACTGGGCGTCAATGTAATACGTTATTCCTCATAGATTTTGGTTTGGCCAAAAAATACAGAGACAAAAGAACAAGGCAACACATACCGTACAAAGAAGGTAAAAATCTCACCGGCACTATCCGTTATGCTAGCCTCAATGCACATCTTGGTATTGAACAAAGTCGCCGAGATGACATGGAATCGATAGGATATGTTTTGATGTACTTTAACAGAACCAGCCTGCCGTGGCAAGGAGTAAAGGCTACAACAAAGAAACAAAAATACGAGAAGATTAGTGAAAAAAAGATGTCCACCTCTGTTGAAGATTTATGTAAGGGGTATCCTGAAGAATTTGCCACGTACTTAAACTATTGTCGTGGGCTTGGCTTTGACGAAGCTCCGGATTACAGATACATGAGGCAGCTGTTTCGGAATCTCTTCAGAACCCTGAACCACCAATATGACGACAGATTTGATTGGACAATTAAAAAGGAGAAAGCGGCACAGCCGGTAGCCTCTTCAAGTGGCCAGGGTCAACCCGCCCAAACCTCCAGAGGTTTCCAAGCACGGATGAGGGAACAGAAGAAGCCGTGAAGATGATCAGAGCAGCGTTTGTTTCTCCACCAACCTAGAACTTTGAGTTCATATGAACACTAGCTAGTGGTTGTGGACAACTATTTGCTTGGTGTAAAGAATTGAATTTCAATATAAATTGCCTCTGGGTAGCATTGGTGATGTTGTGTCCTGATTTGTAGCGACTGTAATTGTGAGTATTAACTGAGAAAGTGAAACTTGGTGTCCAGTTAACTATTGCATTTTTTTTCAAGTAGAAAAGGTAACTAAATGGTTGACATACACAAATTGGTGGAGAAATTGTTCATATGCAATTTTTTTGTTAAAAATTAGTCTCTAAATAATTTATTTCACCTTGCAAATGTAGACAAGACTTTGTGGCAATTACTTGGTATTTTGGTTAAAACCTTTTACTTTGTTAAAATGTTTTTACATTTTTTTCATTGAATTATTTTACTGAATTCAGAAACTGTTTTTACCTAAATGTTAAAGATTAGTCTCTAAATAACCTATTTCACCTTGCAAATGTAGACAAGACTTTGTGGCAATTACTTGGTTTTGGTTAAAATCTTTTACTTTGTTAAAATGTTTTTACATTTTTTTGATTGAATTATTTTACTGAATTCAGAAACTGTTTTTACCTAAATGTTAAAGATTAGTCTCTAAATAATCTATTTCACCTTGCAAATGTAGACAAGACTTTGTGGCAATTACTTGGTTTTGGTTAAAATCTTTTACTTTGTTAAAATGTTTTTACATTTTTTTGATTGAATTATTTTACTAAATTCAGAAACTGTTTTTACCTAAATGTTAAAGATTAGTCTCTAAATAATCTATTTCACCTTGCAAATGTAGACAAGACTTTGTGGCAATTACTTGGTTTTTTGGTTAAAAATCTTTTACTTTGAACTATACTGCTTTGAGATCTCATTTCAGAAGGACTGCATGAACAGTCTTCAGCCAAAGTTGTGATGGTTGCAAATGTTCACAAGTGTGCATTCTTAGGGTTTATCCATCCCTGGGGTTTGCAAATTCTTCACTTAAAACATTCTTAAAATGGTTGGCTTCTTGTTTGCAAGCCAGCTGATGATATGGTAGCTACCAAAGATTCCGGTGTTTGAGTATATGAAAGATTACGCCTGCTTACCTGTGCTAGAAATAACACCTAATGTGAAGACTTAAGAAAGACTTAGTGACTATTAGATTATACTTTAGGACTCTGCATTAACTCTGTAATGTTCTTGGTATTTAGGAAAAAAAGTATGTTTGTCATAGAAATTTAGTTAACATCTTAAAACTGAACATGCATTTATGATGCTTAGATAAATGTAATACCTGTAAACATTTAAATGATCTATGATTTTGTTTTTATTTTGAAATGGGAGCTTTTTTGTTTACAAGTTCATTAAAAATTAAAAACTGAAAAAATATACTGAGGATCAGTTCAGTTTTAAACAAATTTAGGCTGAGATAATTTTGAAATACTAAGGAGGAAATGTCCAGGCAGCTGTTAGAGATGGAGCCCAGGAGGAATGCTGGGACAGGAGATACGGTCTCGAAGATATAAACTAGAAGTAATTATTTAAACCTGGAAATGGGGTGAGATCATCAACACTTTTTCAAATGTGTGTTACTAGGTTAAGAAAGCAATTGATTTAGTTGGAATAGAATAGATTAATTTCAAAATGCATCACACAGTAGTTGTAAGTAATGATTCTGGATTGCAATGTAACAATCAATTTCTTATTGTGAATCCAGGGTCTGAGCCTTTTGGAACAGTAAAAGACACTGACAGAACGGTAGAAACTGCAACCAGTTTTACAAATGGTTTGTGGTTTCTTGTTCGATGGTTGGCACTGGTCTCTGGACCCCTTTACACTCTTAATATGTTTTGAAGACCTGGAAGTGCTATTGTCTTTGTGGGGGTATATCTCTGTTGATATTTATTTATCAGAAGTTAAAACAGGCAGGAATTAAATATTTATGTACTGATGTCCTTAAAATAACAGTAATAAACTCATTCATTACATGGTAACAAAGATTTTCATGAAAAAACTGCTATATTTTCCCAAACAAAAAATTGAGAAGAGTTGTTATCTTTTGCGCCTAGCTTAATAAAACATAACTAAATTCTCATATCTGCTTCTGTGTTTTTTTAAATGTTTACTTTTTTTAGAAAGGGGAAGGGTGGGAGAAAGAGAGGGAGAGAAACATCGGTTGGCTGTCTTCTGTACACACCCAGACTGGGGATTGAACCTGCAACGCAGGCATGTGCGCTGACCAGGAATTGAACCCACGACCTTTTGGTCTGTGGGCTGATGCCAAATAACTGAGACACAGCAGCCAGAGCTGCTTTTGCATTCAATTAATTGAGTTATATTTGTAAGAGAATGTGAGTGAAAGGCAAATAATATCTTAGTATTACTATTACTATGAAAATAATTTTGACTACACAGGTACCCTAAAAGTTTCTAAGGAACCCTCAGTACCATCGAGAGGTGAAAAAGAATAAGGATAGAAAAAGTTTATTATTTGAGAGTTGGCTATGTATAAGGATTTGATTCTTTCAGGTAAAGATACCTGCATCTAATTTATTGAACAGTAAATTAGATCATATCACACCTTCCCATTTTCCTCAGGGCAAAATCCAAAATCCTTATCAAGGCCCCTAAATCCTTATATGATTTGGGTCTCTGCCTCTCTTGCCTCATCTTATGTCACCACCACCACCATTCCAAATACACAGTTTAGGCTCATTACACTCCAGAGGCACCTGACATTGTCAAGCTATTTCTCATGTAAATACTGTACCACAGCTTATTTTCTGCAGTTCGGAAATGCTAACTATTTACTAATTCTCCTGGATTCAGATTAATAGCCACTGCCTCAGGGAAGCTACCTAACCACTCCACCCCAATCTAAATGGAGTCTCCTCTGTTTTCTTTTCAATACTGTGTTCTTTTCCTTCAGAGTGCTCATCAATTTAAAACTATATCCCTCATCGTGGGATTGGTTATGTCGGTCTTCTGCCAGTGGATTGTAATCTCCACAAAAGCAGAAGCAGGTATGTTTTGTTTATCACTCTTTCCAGTACTTAGCACTGAGTAGACACGTAGTGGGTTTTCTATGAATCTTTGCTTCATGAAAGTATGAGTGAGAGAATGAAGATACATATGGGGAACCTGTTTCCTGAGTCTGAGAAGAAATTATTCATGTTTATTGTGTTTCATGGAAAATGATAACATCCTAGTCCCTAATTTTCATATAAAACACATTTAAAATCTGTTTATAATAGACTATCCTAATAATGGTTAGCATCTAATAGCAATTGTTAATGTATGTGGCTATAAAAGTCTGCTTATGGCCATTATTAAGCATGCATTTTAGAAGCACCAAATACTTTAGTTATTTCAATACAAATTGTTACCTGTAAGTCAACTATGATAATAATTCACTTAAAAGGTTAAGGTCACAAAGTTAGAAGTTCAAGTGCATTTAAATGCCAATAGAGCAACCCTAATTGTTCTATACTCTTCAAATTATTTTTCTGGAGTATAATTTCATTTCTCAAACAGAAATGGTACATTTTGAAATCAATATTTCCTCTTTTCAACTATGATAGCTAAAAAGTGCCAAAAAGTATACTGCATTCTTAAAAGTATTTCCAATAAAAAGACAAACACTATCATAACGCCAGCTTTCAGATCTGAAAGGGAAAGCACTATGTTATCCTTGAGGGTAAAATTATTGTTATTGTCATATATTTATAGGTATATGCATATCAAATATAAGTGAATTTCATATAAAGACCAAGGTGCCATTCTTTTAACTTTCTATAATTTTAAATTTAGGCAATTACTTTAACCTAATAATTTTAACACGAATGAAGTGCCACTGTACGCTATTGAGACACTTTTGTTTCTGAGGGTTATGATTAATCTGTATTAGAGGTATTTTATTTTGAGAGTAAGGTGCAGCTGCATTGATGGGGCCTTTCCAATGAGGGATATTCTGTCTGAATGTATATTTCCATGAGCGAGGCTTGCTATGTGGGATACAGAGAGACTCACTAAAGCCCACAGTTTAAAAAAAAAAAAAGAATTTTGCTACTCCTTGGAACTCTAGTCAGAATTGTGCATCTACAGGATCCATTTGTCCATTTGGATACTAAATAGGAATAGGTGGAGAGAGGACTTTAATTGGCTTGTCACTTTTTCTCCTAAGCCTTACCTGGGTATGTGAAAAATAACATGTCTGACTCTGAATAGATGGGTGCAGGGTCCCGGCCACCAAATGTTCACATTCAGGCTCAAGTGAGCTTCCTCCAATGTGGCTGCTTTTTCCAGAGGGGCCCACTGTCGGCCAGAAACGGGCACTCCTTAGCAGCAAGCTGGTGACTGCAACTGTACAGATCTGTTTATGGAAACTGTTAGGGTAGAAAATCATTAAGCTACCTTCCCTCCTTCCAATCATTGTAGCCAGAGGGTAAGGTGCCATTCATAGTCTCTGGTAGCTTGATTTGTGGATGACATTGTTATCAGTTGCGATGGGAAATAATGGTTTACCGCAACAAGTACATTTGGAAAGTGTGCCTTTGAAAACATCTTCCCATTAGACAAGCAACCAAACAAAACCCCTTCATTTTGGATGGTTCACATTGATTTTCTTTATGTGATTGTTATTGACTTTAGCCTTCTAATATTATTGTACTTACACTCTTACTTATGAGGGTACTTAGAAACAAGATTGAAATAAGTGATATTTTCCATTATGCATTCTTTGCAGAGAATACAACCTATGGATTCCACGAATATGTTTAAAATACCAAGGCAGAACATCTAAATATTGTTTTCTAGGACTTTATTGTTCCAGGTACATGGTAACAGCCACTCAGTAAATACTTCTTTGGTTATTGAAATGTTCAAATATCTTTGAAAATCTCTTAGCTTTTTGAAGTCTCAATTTCTTTACATATTCCCAGTGCTGGCACAGTTCCTGGAACATAGTAGATGCTTCAAGAT